GGCTGTTACAGGCTGGAGAAAGCCACATGGAGGCCAGCAGATGACGTGGAGACGATGCATGAAGAAAGTAACAGCGATTAGGTAGAGTAGGTGTTTCTCGTCTTCCGGGTTGGGGTTCAAAAGACTCCGAAACCGCATGGTTGGAGACACTGAAGGTCATGGCTGCGAACCGACAGCAATGGCGATCATGCAGTCACTTCTTATCAGTCCAGAATGCTTGAACCATTATGTATGCACAGTTGGGTTGTGTACTCTGTGTGTTGACCAAAGAGGTTCGCTTTCTTTTCCCATCCCTAAAAATGGGCCCAATCCCTGTCGTCCTTACACATTCTCACTTATCTTGTATGCATTATGAGTTTGGCAGCGATCAGTGAAGTTCATTTCACTGTATTACGCTATACAATGATGATGATGATGATGGTGATGTACCAAGTTTGTTTAGTGCAGCTTGTGACACTGCATCTTTTATCCTGGACCACTGCACATCAGTGGTGTCTGCTACGTTGACGGATGGGGCAGACTCAGTTGTCAATCGGGTTTCAGTTTCATCCATCAGTTTCTTCCATTTCCTTCTACACACCCACTGGGCCCACGTTGGTGGAATTTGGAGGGGTAGCCTTAACACGAGTAGTCAGCCGAAGGTGAAGCTTCGTAGGAACCAGCATGTAATCAGAGCCATCTCTGTTACAAACTTCGACACCGCGATACGATCTACAATCGTCTACCAATGAGATCGAGCGTGACCGCATCAATCTGGTCGACTGTTATGCCGTAGTGGGAGTACCAGGTAAGAAGAAGCTTCCTGGGGTGCTGAAAACATGTTGGTTATAAATAACCGGTTGAAATCGGAGAAATTAATTAGCCTGTCACCGTTTTCGCAGCGATGGCCTAGTTCAAATTTCTCAATTATATGTTTTGTTGAAGGTCCTTACCCACCTGCTCGAGCATTCCAGTCTCCCGCCAAGATAAATACATCTATCTTGTTGACGTGGTTTACTACCTCCTGAAAACTGCAGTAAAACTCGTCGTTCCCTACGCTTTCGAATGGTAGGGTGGGGCTTAGACTGTTACCATCGTGAGGTTGGTCGGATTACTGTTTGAAACGTACTACGGCGATCCTTGATGATATTGGTTCCCAAGAGAGTAGGGCGGCGTTGGCTCGCTGGCTCAGCGCTATTAACCTGAGATTTCTGGGCTATTATGGTGAAAATAGTAGTGGCTATAAGAACTGGGAACCTTGATACTGCGGGATCCGACTAATCGTACTTCGGATAAACATGCAACATCTACGCGGTGGTCGTGTAACGTGTGCACAGTCACTGCTTGACTCCCAGGGTCTAAGAAGGTTCTCACGTTCCAGCATCCCACATAGAGGNAAGAGGTTGAGGAGATCCAGTTCGCATTCTTGACACCCCGACCACTGGAGGAGCACGGGGCGCATCGCGCACCGGGGGCGCCGTAGCATGGGTAACGAAGTTTGTAGAAACCATGATAATGAAGTTACTTGGGAGTTTGGTACGAGAGACGTCCACAGGATCACGGTGTTTTTTATTTTGAGGGCGCACCTCTAGCCTTTGCACAACCAATGGCGAACTGCAAGGCATCAGGAAGTAATCCCTCGCCTTGGAAGTGAGGGTGAGGGGTCCATGACTAGTTTTAAAAGGCCATTCGCATTGACCTTTCTCAGGACACCGTCATTGGGCTTTTGGCTTTTAAACAGGAGCCAGGTGACCAGCCTAAAACTCTCCACACCCTGTTAGTGCCGCCGCTGTTTGTTTGCGACTGCTTATTTGTTACGGTGTGCCACAACTTATTCACAGCTAACC